ACATGCAAAACGGGACGGAAAACATGAAATTTTGCAATAATCTTGCGCCACCCTTGCACAAAACGACGATAATTTTTCTAATTTCATAGATAACAAGACTGTATTTTGCCTGCCTACACCAGACGCGAGAACACCGAGAGCCGAGATGTGGATCCTTAAGCTCAGAGACATCGGATTTATTCGCACTTTTACATTTACTTTGTCAAAGTATATGGATTTAGTACTTGTCTCTGCTTAAGTCTCAAAAATAGTCCTTTTATCGCGACTCTGCCGCGCCTCAAGCTCGACGCGTCAACTGTGTACGCACCTTTACAACAGTATGCGTGTGGTGCGCCGTAGTTCAAAAGCACGATGCGCGCGTCCTCAGCGTTCATTGATCGTAACCCCTCCATTGGCAGCAGCGGCAGGAGCGACTGTTTAGACTGAGCAGTAAGCATGTCTCGTTGTGCCCTTGTTTCGACGTGCTTTAGTGATTTCTGAGGGTTGTTGCGTTGTGGAGTGTTCCGAAAGTGCACCATCCGGCCAGGGCGTTGTTCTCTGCCACCAAGCGCATGTAAACAATCCCCCAAGCCAAGCCAGTCGAGTCGAAGCGTGCCAATCGCGTTTTGCCTTTGTGCAGTGTTTTGCTTGTGCGAACTGTTCCCCAACCAGCATTCAAACTGTGGGGTGCCGGGGCCTTTTTTCTTCCCCAACCGGGAATGTACTACCCGGTAAGTGAACTCAGCTGGTTTTTTGGGGCTTTTGGCAGCCCGCATCACTAACCTTCTACAGGTTGAGGTTACATTATGAAACGAGTATTTTTACATTAAGCATTATAGTTAGGATGGGCCAGTGATGTCTGTGTGCTTATTTTTCGCGTCCCCTTCTAGCTGACGTGTCTGCAAACCTCTCTGTTAGTTTTCGACCGAAGTTACCGCCAATTGTTCGCCAGGTAGAATTGTTAGACCTTTTTCCGCCCGCTCGAGGGTCGCTTTGATAGTGCCTTGATGACAGTGAAAATCACTGCTAAGCCCCCAGCCGACCGAACGGAAGCATATGTGCTCGTTTCGTGCACGAAAATAAACAGGCCCATTAACTGGCTGGATAACAATGTTTATGTTACGTTCCGATGATATGATGGCATGTTTACAAATAGCCCCAAAATATTGTCACTGATGACAGCGTCTGCCACTTGGAGGGCAACTGGCAACAAAGCAAGGGGCTTAATTGAAACCAATAGCAGATTGCAATATTCAATGTTTGCAAATCGCTCCTAACTGTATCTCCGGTTGGTGGCGATCAAATCACTGATAGTGTTAGCGGATAAAAGAGCGTCGTCCTGGGACTATACCCCAGATATGCCATCCGGCCTCAAGTTGTTTTCTAAAGGCACATTTATCATCCAGCCCTGATACCAGGGTTAAGGTTCAGTGAATGAGCTTTGGCTTAGCGATAAATGATAAATCCAAGTCAACAATCAATCGGCTCTTGCCGTGCAGTTGCCACCGGTCGGTGGCGATAACGACCCTCAAACGACGCCACTGTTGACGCGCTCCTTAAACCAAGGTCTGGACTGTTTCAAACGCCCCTATGCATGATCGTGTGTGGTTTTTGTCGAGAATGTGCCTGATTAGGCCACACGCGATCCGACTACCCCAACATGCAAGATTAATCACGCACGGTACGCCCCTGGCGGCCCGGCGGCGTCCCTGACTCAGACGCAGACCCGCCTAATTGATGGCTTTCTCGGTACAGAACCAATTTGGTTCACTTCAATTCTCCGAAGAGCACATGCGAACCGATTCAAGGCCAAGAGGTTGGGCAATTTTCTGTGCGAAAAAATCGTCAGTGTTGGTTCGCGTCAATAAACGGCCAAAATCGACCCTCCGGTTGGCTGCAGATGCTGAGGTGTGCGTGGGGCGCAAGGACTTTTCCCCCTGCGTTGTCTGCAGCCCGCAGGATAATGCCATCGATCCCCCTCGGCAGCCACCCTTCTCTCCCAAAGGAACGCCGCGTGTCTTGAATTTGAACCGTTCCCCGGGAATGGGTCCGGGCCCTTTTTCTACTTGTTGTACCCCCGCAACTTCCATAACAGTAAATGCGGCCTTACTCTCACAGTTGTCAAAGTAGCTTGGCAATAAAAGGTTCAAGGGCGCAGCCTTAGGTGGGGTTTGTTTCATCTTCTTTATCGGCAGAAAACACTTTCCCACAATGAACGCGGCTCTTTTTTCTACCTGTTGGTCCCTCTCAACTTCAATGGCAGTTGGGTGTTGTAAACCCGACCTTACTGTCACAGTTGTCAAAGTAGCTTGACAATAAAATGTTTCTTTCATCCAGTTGCCCGTTGTAAATACGCCCTTACTGTCAGAGTTGTCAAAGTAGCTTGGCTTTAAAAGGCTCAATGGCGCAGCCTTAGGAGGATAATCATATTTTTTTCTGCCTGCATCTGCAGGAAACGTTCCACGGAGATGAACGCGAGTCCTTTTTCTACTTGCACCCCTGCAACTTCCATGACAGTCGGTCGTTCTAAATACGGCCTTGCTGTCACAGTTGTCAAAGTGGGTTGATAATAAAAGGTTCAATGGCGCAGCCTTAGGTGCGGTTTTATCTTCTTCTTTGTGTGCGTCTGCAGCTGAATGGCTCATTAAGGCAGTTTATGGGCATCAGGGTGGGGTCGCCCATGCGGTATATTTATTTGCTGTGGCAGTGGCGTTTCTTCCACTGATGTGAGTAAAAACTAGGATTAATAAATTTATTGTAGATAAGTTCTATATTGTTGAGGCGGATTCAGTTTTTTACAAATTTCTTTTTGGGTATTTCGCCTCAAAAATTGTTGTCTTAAAAAAAACAGGATTTCCTCACGTCTTTTATTACAGATTGATAAATAGTGCTCCTATTTCGCAATAAGAACGAATTGTTTATCAAAAAGTAATCAAGAACTATCACCTAGAGGGTATCCTGCAACACACTTAGCCTCAAGCTGTAAGAGAAAATTCCAATTAGTAAAGAAATTAATTTGAAAAATTACCTTGACGTTTCGATAGCTATTTTCTGCTATCGTTATCAAAAGAACCTAAATGAACCTAAAAAAGAGTAGTTAATAAATTGTGTAACAATAGTAGGATAATACAGTATATGAAAATTCGCTCTGATAATTCGTCTGTGAAAATTTTCAGTTATGTGACTTTGACTTAATCTCATTGTTTAAATTAATAAAGGTAATGTTAATTAATAATTTTGGTGTAAATTTAATTTGGGTGTATGTTT